TAAAGTCACGTAGGTAAAACATTAAATCTAATAAAAGTAAAATAAATAAAAAATTATTTGATACAGCTGTCGTGGCTGTGACGGTTCCACCTGAAGACGGAAGCTTGTGTTGCCTCCGAAACGTCGTGATTTTTATTTTATTTTACTTTTATTAATTTTAATGTTTTTACCTACCTGGTGACTTTACCAAAAAAACCTAAGAATATGAATCTTTGCAGTCACGAAAGCTTCAAATCTAGAAAAAACAATTGCCACGTTCTGTACTTTTGAGGCTTACGCAATTAGGAAATAAAACTTTACTACTCAGGGACCAAACATTATCGTGTTACACCGTGTTTTTGTGTAATAATAATAATTATTTAAAAATAAACACACACAGCCAATTGCATTATTGACGTAAATAACACGAAGCGCGACGAATTGTAAAAAAAATAGTCCGATTACAATTGGCTTCGAGTTACGGGGTGCGAATGCTCCACCCCAAACGAGGCCGCATTTGTCTCGAGGTGAGTGGGTGAGTTAATAGATGAGTGGATAGGTGGGTGAGTTAATAGCTGAGTGGGTAGGTGGGTGAGTGGGTGAGTTAATAGGTGAGTGGGTGAGTTAATAGGTGAGTGGGTAGGTGGGTGGTGAGTTAATAGGTGAGTGGGTAGGTGGGTGAGTGGGTGAGTTAATAGGTGAGTGGGTAGGTGGGTGAGTGGGTAGGTGGGTGAGTGGGTAGGTGGGTGAGTTAATAGGCGAGTGTGTGAGTTAATAGGCAAGTGGGTGAGTGGGTGAGTGAATAGGTGAGTGGGTAGGTGGGTGAGTGGGTAGGTGGGTGAGTTAATAGGTGAGTGGGTGAGTTAATAGACGAGTGGGTGAGTTAATAGGCGAGTGGGTGAGTTAATATGCGAGTGGGTGAGTGGGTAGGTGGGTGAGTGGGTAGGTGGGCGAGTTAATAGGTGAGTGGGTGAGCGAATGGGTGAGTTAATAGGTGAGTGGGTAGGTGAGTGGGTAGGTGAGTGGGTAGGTGGGTGAGTTAATAGGTGAGTGGGTGGGTGGGTAGGTGGGTGAGTTAATAGGTGAGTGGGTGGGTGAGTGGGTAGGTGAGTGGGTAGATGGGTGAGTTAATAGGTGAGTGGGTAGGTGAGTGGGTAGGTGGGTGAATTAATAGGTGAGTGGGTAGGTGGGTGAGTGGGTGAGTTAATAGGTGAGTGGGTGAGTTAATAAGTGAGTGGGTAGGTGGGTGAGTGAGTTAATAGGTGAGTGGGTAGGTGGGTGAGTGGGTGAGTTAATAGGTGAGTGGGTAGGTGGGTAGGTGGATGAGTGGGTAGGTGGGTGAGTTAATAGGTGAGTGGGTGAGTGGGTAGGTGAGTGGGGAGGTGGGTAGGTGGGTGAGTTAATAGGCGAGTGTGTGAGTTAATAGGCAAGTGGGTGAGTGGGTGAGTTAATAGGTGAGTGGGTAGGTTGGTGAGTGGGTAGGTGGGTGAGTTAATAGGTGAGTGGGTGAGCGAATGGGTGAGTTAATAGGTGAGTGGGTAGGTGGGTGAGTTAATAGGTGAGTGGGTGGGTGGGTAGGTGGGTGAGTTAATAGGTGAATGGGTAGGTGAGTGGGTAGGTGGGTGAGTTAATAGGTGAGTGGGTGGGTGGGTAGGTGGGTGAGTTAATAGGTGAGTGGGTGAGTTAATAGGCGAGTGGGTGAGTGGGTAGGTGAGTGGGGAGGTGGGTAGGTGGGTGAGTTAATAGGCGAGTGTGTGAGTTAATAGGCAAGTGGGTGAGTGGGTGAGTTAATAGGTGAGTGGGTAGGTTGGTGAGTGGGTAGGTGGGTGATTTAATAGGTGAGTGGGTGAGCGAATGGGTGAGTTAATAGGTGAGTGGGTAGGTGAGTGGGTAGGTGGGTGAGTTAATAGGTGAGTGGGTGGGTGGGTAGGTGGGTGAGTTAATAGGTGAGTGGGTAGGTGGGTGAGTTAATAGGTGAGTGGGTGGGTGGGTAGGTGGGTGAGTTAATAGGTGAGTGGGTAGGTGAGTGGGTAGATGGGTGAGTTAATAGGTGAGTGGGTAGGTGGGTGAATTAATAGGTGAGTGGGTAGGTGGGTGAGTTAATAGGCGAGTGGGTGAGCGAATGGGTGAGTGGGTAGGTGGGCGAGTTAATAGGTGAGTGGGTGAGCGAATGGGTGAGTTAATAGGTGGGTGAGCAAATGGGTGAGTTAATAGGTGAGTGGGTAGGTGCGTGGGTAGGTGGGTGAGTTAATAGGTGAGTGGGTAGGTGGGTGACTTAATAGGTGACTGGGTGAGCGAATGGGTGAGTGGGTAGGTGAGTGGGTGAGCGAATGGGTGAGTGGGTAGGTGGGTGAGTTAATAGGTGAGTGGGTAGGTGGGTGACTTAATAGGTGAGTGGGTGAGCGAATGGGTGAGTGGGTAGGTGAGTGGGTTAGCGAATGGGTGAGTGAGTGGGTTAGATCTGAACAGTCCCCATCATCGGTGAGTTCCTGGGGCAGACCGCGATGGTGCATTGGCCGGGTCACGGAGCGCGCTTTTCCCAGCCGCCCCGTGGCTTTAAAGCAGCTTCTGATCAGGACCACTGCTGCCCCCTGCTGTGAGATCTGTGCAATGCCTCTCAGTGGCCGCTGAACGATGCAGAGACCCACGGACATGCATAGAAATCCCACGGGACATTCACAGATGCACAGAGACCCACAGAGATGCACAGAGACTCACAGACATTCATAGAGATGTAGAAACCCACAGAGATGCATTCAGATAGAGACTCACAGACATTCATAGAGACCCACAGACATGGATAGATGCAGAGACCCACAGACATTCAGAGACCCACAGACATTAACAGAGACCCACAGACATGCACAGAGACCCACAGACATTAATAGAGACCCACAGACATGAATAGATGCATAGAGACCCACAGACATTAATAGAGACCCACAGACATTCAGAGACCCACAGACATGAATAGATGCACAGAGACCCACAGACATTAATAGAGACCCACAGACATTCATAGAGACCCACAGACATGAATAGATGCATAGAGACCCACAGACACACATTCAGACAGAGACCCACAGAGATACATAGAGACCCACCATGTCACCAACGTAATGTGTGAAGACCCCTTCATTTCATGTCCTCGCCTTCCATACGCCAGGTAACTTATTTCACACGTGTGTATAAAGATATAGACAAAGATCCCACCCACGCAGTGTAGCCTCCACAGACCGTAGGGGCAAGTGCTGTTAGCGAGTGGCTGCCTTTGTCTCCCCCAGTGAAGACGTTCACTACACCGCCACCACACCAGCTAACTCATTTGAGGCTGAGTCGACCTAGGGGAGGCCCAGGACCGGTTCAGATAATCGTCACCGGTGGTGTTGGCCGTGAGCGGGAATCAAACTCGGGTCTTTGCCCAATTCGTAGCACTAACCGCTGCACCACCGCTCCCCAAAGACAGACAGCGTAGCGCTAACCACACACGCACCAACACACACGCACCAACACACACACACCAACACACACGCACAACACACACGCACAACACACGCGCATCAACACACACGCACACCAACACAACAACAACAACCGCCATTCGCCACTAAGTGGCGGTGACGTCACCACGATGCTTGTGCCAGGCCAAGTGCACCTTGAGGCCACGTGAAGTGTCGAAAGCCCGCTGGCAGGAGGTCACGGGGCAGACCCAGCAGGTGCCACGGGTCGACTGACCGAAATGACCGAGATGACTGGCTGATGCACCACCTGTGCCCCCTACTGTGTCAACTTGCTGTGCTTTAGCCACTCGGCGCTCCGCTCGTTGTTGTGAGCGTCGCTCCTCCGCCCTCCGTTGTTGTTGGAGGGCGACTGCAAGCTTATTTGTTACATTTTTATGTTTAGAGCGCATCACACACGCACCAACACACACGCACATCACACATGCGCCAACGCACACATGCATCAACACACACGCACCAACACACACGCACCAACACACATGCACCAACACACACACACGCACCAACACACTCATCACATTCATCAACACACGCACCAACACACACACGCACCAACACACACACGCACCAACACACACACGCACCAACACACACACCCACCAACACACACACCCACCAACACACACACCCACCAACACACACACGCACCAACACACACACGCACCAACACACACACGCACCAACACACACACGCACCAACACACACACGCACCAACACACACACGCACCAACACACACACGCCAACACACACACGCACCAACACACACACGCACCAACACACACACGCACATCACACACGCACATCACACGCATGCGCCAACACACGCACGCATCAACACACGCACGCACCAACACACGCACGCATCAACACACACACGCATCAACACATACACGCACCAACACGCACACACGCACCAACACACACACCCACCAACACACACACCCACCAACACACACACGCACCAACACACACACGCACCAACACACACACGCACCAACACACACACGCACCAACACACACACGCACCAACACACACACGCACCACACACACACGCACCAACACACACACGCACCAACACACACACGCACCAACACACACACGCACCAACACACACACGCCAACACACACACGCACCAACACACACACGCACCAACACACACGCGCCAACGCACGCATGCGTCAACACACGCACGCGCCAACACACGCACGCACCAACACACATGCATCAACACATACACGCATCAACACACACACGCATCAACACACACACGCACCAACACACACACACGCACCAACACACACACACGCACCAACACACACACACGCACCAACACACACGCACCAACACACACGCACCAACACACACACGCACCAACACACACATGCACCCACCAACACACACACGCACCAACACACACATGCACCCACCAACACACACACGCACCAACACACACACGCACATCGACACAGAGCGAGGGACGAGGGGGGGCACGTGTGTTGGTTGTGATCGCCCAGCTCTCTTTATTAGCCCAGGGCACGCACTGGGCACGCGCTCAGCAGCAGCAGCAGCGGCGTGGGTCGGCGTGGTGATGAGACGAGGCCTAGAACTGGATGACTTGGCCCTGGGGAGGAGATGAGGGCACACACACAGGCAGACACACACAGAGACACACACACAGAGACACACACACAGGCAGAGACACAGGCAGACACACACAGAGACACACACACAGAGACACACACACACAGAGACACACAGGCACACACACACAGAGACACACAGAGACACACACGCACAGACACACACAGAGAAACACACGCACAGACACACACAGAGACACACACAGAGAAACACAGGCAGACACACGCACAGACACACAGGCAGACACACAGAGAAACACACGCACAGACAGAAACACACACAGAGACACAGAGACACACACAGACAGAGACACACACAGACAAACACATGCACAGACAAACACATGCACAGACAAACACATGCACAGACACACACACACAGAGAAACACACACACAGAGACAGACACACAACACACACAACGACACACACACAGAGACACACACATGCACATTAGTCTCTCCATGTACAAACCAAAATACTGTTTCCATTCATAGGATTTGTGTGGGCGAGTGGGTGGACGAGTGGGCGAGGGTGGATGGGTGAGTAGATGACTGAGTGAGTGAGTGGATGGCTGAGTGGATGGCTGAGTGGATGGCTGAGTGGATGGCTGAGTGGATGGCTGAGTGGATGGCTGAGTGGATGGCTGAGTGAGTGAGTAGATGGCTGAGTGGGTGAGTGGATGGCTGAGTGGGTGAGTGGATGGCTGAGTGGATGGCTGAGTGGGTGAGTGGATGGCTGAGTGAGTGAGTGGATGGCTGAGTGGATGGCTGAGTGGCTGAGTGGATGGCTGAGTGGGTGAGTGGATGGCTGAGTGGGTGAGTGGATGGCTGAGTGGCTGAGTGGATGGCTGAGTGGATGGCTGAGTGGGTGAGTGGATGGCTGAGTGGGTGAGTGGATGGCTGAGTGAGTGAGTGGGTGACTGAGTGGATGGCTGAGTGGGTGAGTGGATGGCTGAGTGGGTGAGTGGATGGCTGAGTGAGTGGATGGCTGAGTGGGTGAGTGGATGGCTGAGTGGGTGGATGGCTGAGTGGGTGAGTGGATGGCTGAGTGAGTGAGTGGGTGACTGAGTGGATGGCTGAGTGGGTGAGTGGATGGCTGAGTGAGTGGGTGACTGAGTGGATGGCTGAGTGGGTGAGTGGATGGCTGAGTGGGTGAGTGGATGGCTGAGTGAGTGGATGGCTGAGTGGGTGAGTGGATGGCTGAGTGAGTGGATGGCTGAGTGGGTGAGTGGATGGCTGAGTGGGTGAGTAGATGGCTGGGTGGTTGAGTGCCTGGGTGTACTGGGCTGAGCAGGCGGGTCAGTGGGTGTAGGGTGGTGTGTTAGTAGTGGGTGGGTGGTGTGTGTAGTGGGTGGTGGGAAGTGTAAGTGGTGGTGGTGTGTAGTGTAAGTGGTGGGTGGGTGGTGTGTGTAGTGGGTGGTGTGTAGTGGGTGGTGTGTGTAGTGTGAGTGGTGTGTAGTGGGTGGTGTGTGTAGTGTGAGTGGTGTGTAGTGGGTGGTGTATAGTGGTAGGTGGGTGGGTGGTGTGTGTAGTGTAAGTGGTGGTGTGTGGTGGGTGGGTGGTGTGTGTAGTGTAAGTGGTGGTGGTGTGTGTAGTGTAAGTGGTGTGAAGTGGGTGGTGGTGGTGGTCTGTGTGGTGGGTGGGTGGTGTGTGTAAGTGGTGTGTAGTGGGTGGTGGTGTGTAGTATAAGTGGTGGGTGGGTGGTATGGAGTAGTGTGTAGTGTAAGTGGTGGTGTGTAGTGGGTGGGTGGGGTGTAGTGAGTGGTGGGTGGTGTGTGTAGTGTAAGTGGTGTGTAGTGCAAGTGGTGGTGTGGGTAGTGTGTAGTGGGTGGGTGGTGTGTGTAGTGTAAGTGGTGGGTGGTGGGTAGTGAGTGGTGGGTGGGTGGTAGTGAGTAGTGGGTGGGTGGTAGTGAGTAGTGGGTGGGTGGTGGTGTGTGTAGTGTAAGTGGTGGTGGTGTGTGTAGTGGGTGGGTGGTGTGTAGTGTAAGTGGTGTGTAGTGGGTGGTGGTGTGTGTGTGGTATGGAGTAGTGTGTAGTGTGAGTGGTGGGTGGGTGGTGTGTGTAGTGGGTGGGTAGTGGTGTGGGTAGTGTAAGTGGTGGGTGGGTGGTGGTGGTGGGGTAGTGAGTGGTGGGTGGGTGGTGGTGGTGTGTGTAAGTGGGTGGTGATGTGTGTAGTGAGTGGTGGGTGGTGTGGTGGTGTGTAGTGTAAGTGGTGGGTGGTGGTGGTGTGTGTAGTGTAAGTGGTGGTGGTGTGTGTAGTGGGTGGGATGTGTAGTGGGTGTGTGAGTAGTGGGTGGGTGGTGTGTGTGGTGGGTGGTATGGAGTAGTGTAAGTGGTGTGTAGTGGGTGTGTGGTGGGTGGGTGGTGGTGGTGTGTGTGGTGGGTGGGTGGTGTGTGTAGTGTAAGTGGTGGGTGGTGGGTGGGTGGTGGTGGTGTGTGTAGTGGGTGGTGTGTGTAGTGTAAGTGGTGGTGGTGTGTAGTGGGTGGTGTGTGAGTGGTGATGTGTGTAGTGAGTGGTGATGTGTGTAGTGAGTGGTGTGTGTGGTGTGTGTGGTGGTGTGTAGTGTAAGTGGTGGGTGGGTGGTGTGTGTAGTGTAAGTGGTGAGTGGTGGGTGGTGGTGGTGTGAGTGGTGGGTGGGTGATGGGTAGTGTAAGTGGGTGGTGGTATGGAGTAGTGGGTGGTATGTGTAGTGGGTGGGTGGTGTGTGTAGTGTAAGTGGTGAGTGGGTGGTGTGTGTAGTGGGTGAGTGGGTGGTGGTGGTGTGTGTAGTGTAAGTGGTGGTGGTGTGTGTAGTGGGTGGTGTGTGTAGTGAGTGGTGGGTGTGTAGTGTGTGTAGTGAGTGGTGTGTGTAGTGTAAGTGAGTGGGTGGGTGGTGGTGGTGTGTGTAGTGGGTGGGTGGTGTGTGTAGTGAGTGGGTGGTGTGTGTAGTGGGTGGGTGGTTGGTATGGAGTAGTGGGTGGGTGGTTGGTGGGTGGGTGGTGCTCTACCCACCTTCCTCTTCTTGTCGCCCCCCAACTCGAAGTGCTTGCAGCGCTTGATGGCGATCATGCGCTTGGCACGGCAGTTGGGCTCCACGCACTCCAGACGCAGCACGATCTTCTTGGTCGTCTTGGCCTGGACCACCACCACCACCACACGTGTCCGTGAGTACATCACCGTCGTCGTCGTCATTGTCATCATCACCACCACCGCCATCATCGCATTTATCGTCACCACCACCGACATCATCACCACCATCGTCACCACCACCACCACCACACGTGTCCGTGAGTACATCACCGTCGTCGTCATCATCATCATCGTCGTCATCGTCATCATCATCATCGTCGTCATCGTCATCCATCATCGTCGTCATCATCGTCATCATCGTCGTCATCGTCGTCATCGTCGTCATCGTCGTCATCGTCGTCATCGTCGTCGTCATCATCATCGTCATCATCGTCATCATCGTCATCATCGTCATCATCGTCATCATCGTCATCGTCGTCATCATCATCGTCGTCATCATCGTCGTCATCGTCGTCATCATCATCGTCATCATCATCGTCGTCATCGTCGTTAATCATCATCATCATCGTCGTCATCATCATCACCGCCACCATCATCACAATTATCGTCATCGTCACCACCACTGACACCATCGTCATCACCACCATCGTCATCATTGTCATCATCACCATCACCTCCACCACCACCACCACAATCACCATCACCACCATCACCACCACAATCACCACCACCACCACAATCATCATCACAACCATTCACCACAATCATCACCACCACCGCCATAATCAACGCCACCACCACCACACCCCCACCTCACCTTCTTGTGGAAGATCGGCTTCGTCTGCCCACCATAGCCGCTTTGCTTGCGGTCGTAGCGACGCTTGCCTGCGACAAGAACCGTCACAATCAGCATTTGCACTGCAGGAGGAATCTGATGAGTGATAAAGCTCTTAATTATAGATTTGAAGCTTTCGTTTATATTAAGTTCACTTGCTTGCTTGCGCGCTTACGACCGTGCAAATCTTTCGGTCGTTTTTTAACCCACTTCTCGTGATCCAATCGAGCTGACATTTTGCACACAGACTCGCTGTGCGTGACAAGTTATTTTCGAGAAATTTTTTTCCCAAAATTTTCCACTTTTTAGGAAAAAAATAAATTTTATATTTAATTTAAAATGCCAATGTGATAAAAATGAAACTCTTACTCAAGAAAAACAGAAATGAATAATAAAATAAAACCGATGCCACGCATATAAAGGATTTAGTGAAAAACTTTGCTATCGGCATACGCCGTTTTCATTGATTTTACCCGAAATTAACTCTGTCACTTATGATTGCAAGTTGTTGCGAGTCAGTGACTGCTTTAGTGATAAAATACGGTGCTGTATTTTTAGGATAGTGTGTTT